CCACTTACTCTGACTCTGTCTCCTCTCCTGCCTGCAGAATGCCAGCACGGTGTCTCTGCTAAAGATTACCAAGCTCTGCTAAAAACTAAGCTCTATCTGTTCTAAGAAGACCTTTACTCTCTCTAAGATACTGTCTCTCTCTCTCCAGCTGAAGTAGATAGCCCTCAAGCACCTATGAGAAACCGTTCCTAAGCACGGTAGTTTAGTGGTCCGTGTCCGGAACCTACCTAAGCTAGGCCCGAGACCTGGCCAGTCCTGGGCCCTGACATACTCTGGTTATCTTTCTTTTCCTCCCTGCTTTTGTTCCTCCTGGAGTTAATAATTGTCTCTCTCATCCCCATCCAATTCATCTGTTTAGGGTTTTTTTATGCATTCACTAATTCAATCATACTACTCTCTCAGTTTAAACCTTTATTAGGAAGCACGTTAAAAAGTCCATCAGTTTCAACTTCTTGAATAACCTTCACTTAAAACACTTACAAAAACTCTGTATTTCAGGCCAGTTGTTCTCTGCCTGCCACAGTCCCTTCTTTATGATATCTTTTAAAATTATCATTCTAGGATCTGTATTAACATCTTGCGGATTCCTTCTCCCACTGTTTCATGTCAGTTTTGTTTTCATGAGCCCTTACTTTCTTCTCTTGGTTTATTTCTTTGCTCTTAAGGTGTAGCTTTCTCAGTGGCTACATTAGCAAAAGGCATAACAAGTAAGTTCTTGCGACATTGAATAGTTGAGGATGTCTTGAATGACATCTTCAGTAGTCAACAACTACTTGTAGTGTTGAATTTCAATAATGCATGTTGGGTGATAATATTTTTATCCATTTCATCGACCTCTCAAGAGGCTTTTCGACTGAACTTATCATTCATTTCTAGAAAATAGTTTGATAATTTTCTATCCTCTATCTTGGCCCTCTTTCTGAATATCCTATTATATCATTTGGATATTGGCCCTCTTGAACATAACCTCTCACTTCATTTCTTTTCCAATTTTCCAGGCTTTGTCTTTTTTTCTCTACTTTCTAGGAGACTGCTCTATTTATCTTCTTTTTTAGTGAGCTTTTTATATCTACTGTTCTAGTCTCATTTTCCAATAATTCTTGTTTTTTCTTTTCAAGTAGTCCCATGGTCTTATTCATGAAATACCTTCTCTTAGAGGATACTAAGTTTTCTGAAATGTCCCTACATAAAGTTTACTTCTAAGCTGCTTGTTTACATTCCCATATTTCATAATGTTTTCATTCTCAAATGCCCTGCTGATCCTTTGTCATCTGCTCAGATGCACGAGTGAACAAAAGTAAAAAGTATGAGTGAAAAAGTAAAAAGCTAACTGGAATTTGGAAATGTGTATGAAGCTTGTCAAAATTGGTCTTTATTCTAGTGTGTCTGGCTAAGCCATCTCCTTGGGAATCCCAACATTAATGCCATCAGGTTTTTTTCTCTTAGGCTAATCTTATTCCTCAAAGATGACACTTCCTGTCTATTGCCTACTGCCAGCATTTTCTGGGAAAAGTAGAAGAAAAGGGTTGTGTACTTAGTTTTCCAGTCCAGAGACACTCTGACTCCTTACAAAGAACAAACCTTAAATCTTTGGGGGTAAAGATATTTAACAATGCCTTCCCTTTTCAGCCACACTTCATCCTTATTTTCAATTTCTACCAATTTCTGAGCTTTTGCAGGGATCTGCAAGTTAGGCTGCTTTCTTCCTTTTTTCTGTTAGCTGAAAATTCAGCTTTCTCAGGTCTGTTAAGTCATTCAATATTTACTGGATATCTGTTGCGGTTTTTACCATTTCCATTCTTTTTGCTGATATAAATAAATGTCTTTTTAATAGGTAGAGAGGTTAATTAATTAGTAAAATATTCAATATTCTACACTTTTTACTACTAGTCCATGGTTTCTACATAAAATAGGAACACTACTACTTACCCTGCAGAGTACTGCTGCAAAGGGTACATAACATAACATGGCAACACAAGGACACAAAATATTTCCAACAATATTCCCTCCTTACAAAGATGTGAGAGGTTAAGACAAATAATGGATCAGAAAAGTTAAAAAAAAAAAAATTAGGTAGCATGAGCAGAACTGGCAATTAGTACTGTGATGGTGGGATGTTGGATCATTAGTGACACCTAGTGGCCTAATTGATACCTGGTGGGTGGATGGGTGGGGTGGGGAGGAGAAGGGTCTCCAGAACTACAATTTAAAACTCAGAATCTGTCTATAAACCTATTTTCAGTATAAGTACTATGCTTTGAATTACATTATCATGAGTGATAGTATGGTTTCCATCTATGTTATATCTTCAATGTGAGCAATGGTAAGCACTTTGTAAAATAATTCAGAGCTGAAGATGTGTCTCTGGTATCTTCTCTATAACCTGTTTCTCATGGGAATCCATCCATATAACAACTTCTCTACCACCAGTAAGTAGTTACTTGGTGGGTTCACAGAAAAATACCACTACTTCTTCTGCGAGTCACTCTATGTTCTCAATTTAAGTTTCATTTGATTATAAAACATTACTAGAATGCCCCTTGCTAACGGGAAATGTTACAACTACAAAAATACAAAAAAGAGTGAAATACAATAGTCTGCAGTTAACTAAAAAACAATACTAAAAATACATACGGCTATTTATTAAACGTATATTTAGTACTTTGAAACAAAAAAAATTATGCCTTTTAATGAATAGGCAAGCAGTCTTCTCTTATATCCTCCCTGATAACTGCTCTACATGTATCCCTGCTATTGTTTCCAACATGCAGAAGAGGAAAAAATTCACGCATAGCATAGAAGAATTTATAACAAGATAACAACTAGAATTCGTAGTATCTTATTCACCCTGATTCAGGGCAGGGAAATTCCCAATAGCAATGATGTTCAGTTATGTTCACAGTTGGAAATTCTTTGACCTAGACATCAGGATCCTGCAATAAGGATCTACAGAACTTGGTTTCATCTGCATCCAAATATAGATTGCTTTGTGCACTTCAAGCCATTTCTGCAGCTAGTACACTATGCAACCCTAGGGAAAATGATACAGCAAACTTATTCCCTGCTACAGTAAGCTTGTACCAACCTATGATAACTATATGGATGAATAACACTAGAACTGAGCACATACAAAACATCAGTACAATACCAGTATTTAAAATACTGTAAGTTTTAAAGTTTGTGATACATGATATGTATAAAAGTAACTACATGTGAAGTACAACACGATTCTAAAAAATATGTGTAATTCAGACTTATTTTTAGATATTGGTAGTAAGAGCTAATATTTGTCCCAAAATTTAAATGGACTTCTATTACCAGATCTCACAGAAATGTTGCCATAAATTAAAATTTCTTACATATAAACTATACAGATGCAAATACTTTATATAAAGAAAAATGTAGCAGAAGCAAATGGAGCAAGGTATTGAATACTTACTGTAGTGTTTTTTCTGAAAGCAGAAGCAAATAGAAACAAGGGGAAAAAAGGCAATGATATAACAAAAATAAAATTAAAAAAAAGAGATACAAATATGAATGGAAAGGAGACAAAGGCTGCAGATACAGTATTTTGTGAGGTACCTTGAAGCCAGTCTACACCTTCTTGCAATCCTTCTCCTTTAATGGCATTACTAGCACTGAAATAAAATCCATAAGACATATATCCATTTCATTATACAGTAAAATAGTAAGAATAAATGATTACAAGTTGTCATATGGCAAACTGATACTGTAATACATATCTGAGCAAAACTAAGCATTGATATTTAATATAAGTAGACAAAAAAGTCTGAGTGCTTAGGAGCAAGAGATAAGAAAATTGTAATTTGTATAGACATTTTGAGAGGTATATCACTAAAAATTTATTATCCTAGAAACATCTATTACACTGAAATTAACAAAACACATACTTTGAGTTATTCTTCCATTGGTGAAAAAGTTTTGTAGAGTTCACTGTTCTACCCTGCCCAGCCCCAATGGTTGACCAGCATTTATTTATTTATTAGAAATACTTGACTTAAAAAAAAGGAAATAAGAAATGCTTGAGTTACGTTATAGTCGATAGCCATAGGATGGACTTACTTTATTCAAAATGGAATTTGATTCTAAAGAGTATAAACACGTAATTATAGCTTTGGTAAGCTCATAGAATAAAAACCTAGTAGACTTCAATCATTATTTTCTATTTGTTTGCTACAGGAACTTGACTAGCTCATTTAACTCTATTTTCAGTTTTAGCATCTGTAAAATGGAGAAATCTAACCATAGTTATTGTGAGAATTAAATATTTGAGGTATATGTATATATGTGTGTGTGTATATATATATCTCACATAAAACAGGATTCCTTTCATTGTCTTTATATTCTTAGGAGCGTAAACTTAAAGCCTTATGGTGACATTTTTTATATAATCACAATAAACTATAAAAATTAAAATAATAAAAGGCAGAGGACTTTTAGTATATCAAATAATCTTTTTCAAAAATACAGAGTAGGGTGCTGGCCCCATATGCCAGAGGTGGCAGGTTTAAACCCAGCCTTGGCCCCCCCCCCAAAAAAAAAAATACAGAGTAATGTAATGAAGAAATCCTTCCCTTCTGGTGGAAGTGTCACTGCTCTACTAAAAACTCTTATCTTTTCCTAACAAGTCCCAGATGTTTGGATTTACCTTTCCTCTAAAATATGTCATAAGAATAAGTCAAAGTCTTCACATTATTCTATAAGGTCCTGGGTAATACAGTCCCTGGTTATTTCTCAGTGGTCTCATCTCCTACAATTTCTTCCCAGATAGCTCAGCTCTAACCAGCCTAGCCTTCTTCCTGTTCCTGGAACATACCAGGTACATTTTCATCAAAGAGCCTTTTCCTTGCTGGCCCCTCTATCCAGAAAACTATTCCTCCAAATCGTCACATGAATTGTTTCCTGACTTCAGTTAGGTCTTAGACAAGAAACAACTCTTACTATCCTTTCTCTTACTACCACACTTTTTCTTCATCCTTCTAGCTGACATTTTATACATTTATTTACTCATTATCTGTCTCCCTCACAAGACAGAAAATAAGTAAATATATATCATACCACAGATTGAGTCAAAAAACACACATGAATAACAGTCAGATCCTGAAAATGAGAGCAGACACCATGTTTGGCACAAAAGTCAAACATAAACCATAAAATTTTCCTTAATTTACTAGGTTGTACTTTTCTATGATTTTTTTTATTATCTAGTAAATTTACTTGTACCCAAGGCAAGAGACAGGCAATAACTTACACATATCTCTATTGACTATAACCTTTATATCTAAGAAAAAAAGGACATTTTAATATATATTTTCAATTTTATACATGCTTTAAAAAAATTACCAAAAATAAAGAACAGACCTAACGAATGAAACTCTAATTTGAATATAGTGATGTCCAGTTTGAATTAAGGAGGATTCAAAAATTACAGACAAGTTAAAAAGAAATACTTGGCTTTCTTCTGTAAGTTATTCAGAAAATATAGAAAGTGCCGATATAACATTCCACATCCTTATAATATCAAGATATTACATATTCACATATTCTTTCACAGAGAATTATGGAGATTGCACCGTAGAAAATGTAAACATGTTAAAGTTCAACTGCCAATTATTTTAATTAGACTCATGTTTTTGAACATGCACTTTCTATCAAAGTAGTCACAATACTTAACACAAAGCAAAAATTACCTCTGAAGTAGAATAATTTTTAATCAATTTAGCTATGATTTAGAAAAATCCAAAGTTTCTATCTCAGAATGTTTCTGTATTCAAAATCCCACCTTCCTTTATCTACCAAATACCATGGGACCTCAAATTCCAAATCAAGTATCATGTCTTAAACACTTTTCCTCTGACCCCCAGATAAGGAAGATTTTTACGTCTTAGGATCCAAGGTGCTGAAAGCCTTGAGTGCTAGAATTTCAGGGTTTTCTCCAGCTCTATGCTATTACTATTTCAGCACCAATACTAATTCTTTTCTGAGCGCTATTACTTTCTGGCTTCTAATTCCCCTTCTAGAGACAGATGAATTTTTCTGTTTGTGTCCAGTCTTTCCCCATATATACTTTCTTATAAAAAGGGGAAAATTCTGGCAAGGAAAGGACCTCTTGCAGCAGGAAGAGGGTAGGTGGGTAGAATGAACTTTAATGAGGTAGCGGTAGGCACTAAAATACTATGTAATATATAAGTTCTGATTATCCTTCTTGGAATAGTTTGGTAGAAAGGCACATGGGGTAAAATGAAGTAATACAAAACTGTTTTCCAAATAAACAATGCATAATTTTTGAGACCACGTATAATTTTTAAGAGTTCGATTTTATTAGTATATCTAAATAAAATCAAATTTTCATTCCTATTTATTTTTAGCAAATATATACTGCACACCTATTACATACCAGGTATAATCACTATTGTACAGGTTACTGAAGCGAACAGAACAAAAACCAAAAAAAAAAGAAAGCTTCAGGGTAATAAGGACTCTATTGAAGTAAACAGCATGCCAGGAAAATTATTTTAGAAAATATAGACAAATAGGAGGACACAAATGCAAAATTCCCCAAGATGGGATTGTGTTTGCCTGATTCCACTTGCACAGAGAAATCAGTGGGCAAGTAAGTGAATTTTTCTATTCCCCTAAATATTTTGGTTTTAACAGTAATATATTTGTGAATATCTGTAATACCACAGTTGTATAAAACAAAATCCTTCGCGTATATCCTGCCATCTTTGGTCATTTAAAGAATGAGGTTAGACAAACACCCTAAAGCTTGGAGACTTTTCAAAAAGATAAAAAGTAAATAGAAAAGTTTACCAAATGTGCCATGGTTTATCTTTGATGTTCTCTAAACACAGCAATTGAGACACTTTTACAGATGTCACTGAATCTCTAAGATCCATTTTGTTTGCAAAGAATAAGATTGGAATTCGACGATGTTTAATATCTAAAAGAGGAAACAAGACTATCATCACATTTGCATCTTTTTGAGTCATTTGCCTCAAATCTTTAAAACTGAAATTCAAGAAATTGTTTTCCAATCACTTCTTTCTATATTACACATATATAAACATTTATGAACACATACATAAACATTTAAGGATACACTGTCAGGTATGTATTTGAGCAATAAAGAAAATTTTTAAAATACTTCTTCCTAGCATCATCCACCTGCCCTCTAGTTAGAAACTTTAAATCAAAGATAGGTGAAGTGGGAGTGGAGGCCTCAATAAACATTACAGAGAAGCATCTACACAAAAGGGTCAAATACTTTGTTTCCTTTTCAAAGTGAACAGAGAGGAAGAAACTTCCAATAGAAGAAAGAGAAATTGTATCCTGATTTTAGTTTTTAGTCACAATACATTATAAGTAATAAGCTAAATATTTTAGCAAGGTATTTTTACCTTGTTACAATTTTGGAAACAATTTGCATTGTTCTGAACAGATAATACTTTGAAACAGTTCAAAGTTCAGAAGACACAAAATGGTATACAGTAAAACAATCTCCCTCCTGCTTTTGTCCTGGACCCTTCAACTGTCTCCATAACATCAGTGTCTTGGCATCTTTGTAGATTACTTTATATATCTATAAACATAATCATTACCTATTATTTTCATACAAATAGCAGCAGACCAATCTTATTATATCTTTATTTTTTCATCTCATTATATATCTCAGACATGGTCTCAGATAGACACGGTCTCTATATGCCCTCTCTGTGATATAGAGTGCATATAGAGTTTACCAAATGTGCCAGTGCTTCATTATTTTAAGTTATAAAATATTACTTCTTTTAGTACTATGTACCATAATTTACTTAACCAGTACATAACTGAGATATATTTGTTATCAATCTCTACAATACACAATGCAATAATGAATAAATGTATACGTAGGTTATTTTATATGTGGGTCAGTATATCATTAGAATTAATGTGAAAAGTGGAATTGTTGGGTCAAAGGACATGTACATTGCTATTTTTGATAGCATAGTGATAACCAAATTGCTTTCCCTTAAAAACTGTATCAATGTACATTTCAACAACAATGTATGAGAATGAGTGTTTTCACTCCCCTAGCCAAAAGAATGCTATTAAACTTTTTATATTTTCCATCATATAGGTTAAAAAGTGTGATCACAATGTGTTTACTAACATTCTTTTTAGATAGGCCAAGAATATTCTTTCCGTATATTCAAAAGATGTTTAAATTTACTTCTTTTATTGATCAACTTTGACATATCCTTCCCCCCTTTTCTATAAGCTTGTATGTTCCTATTGATTTGGAGGAACATATGTAATATAGAAACCATTGTACCTATGATAGATGTTGCAAATATTTTCCCTTGCCTGTCATTTGCCTTTGCATGCACATGGTTGGTATGTTTTGCTATTCAAAGACTTTTTATGATCTCCCATTTTTCAAATAAGTTCATACACATGTCAACTGAGACATCTCTCCTTTGGGAATCGAGCTCATAATATAAAAGAATTAACACATAAAGATACGTGGACAGGGTGG